TGTAATGCTCTAAAAATCTGTCTGTATAAACAGACTTTTTAGTAGTGTAGTAGACAAGAGAAAAAAGGATCAAAAATTAATGGAGGTCCTTATTTCACTCTTGATGATGTTTCTCCAAAATATTGGAGAAAAAGATTACTTGATTTTGGAGCTTGGTTAGATACTCAATTCATGAAGTTAGATGCAGATCCATACAAAGTCATTGAAGAATTCTGTTGCAGAATGAATGGCACCCTAAAAGAATGGTATCACAACCTTGGCAGTGTCAAACAGGACCAGTTTCATCAACTGGAAAATACTCGCCAAGTTCTTGGAGCCATACACCAAGAATTTGTGGGTAACATGGATCTCTATGATAAGAAAATTAGACAAGACTATTTTGAGATAAGATGCTGTTCATTGAAGAAAAATGATTTAGAAAGACATCATAAAAGAATGGTAAAGATTTTCTACCTTCTTAATGGATACAATGATGTTAGTCTAAAAATTACTTATGTTGCTTCTCTTCCTCAAGAACTACAGCCAGAGATTCACAAACTCATTGCAGTCCAAGGACAAGATTTAACTAGTCTAAGCCTTGGCCAAATCCACCAAAAGACATTAGAATCTCTTGATAAACTGTGCAGGACACATTTATTCATCTCTGATGTGATGAATGAAATGTCAAAGTTTACTAAAGCCTGCAAGAAAAAATATCTTGAAATTAGATGCAAAGAAAAGAAGTGTGTTTTCTAATCCAAGAAAAAAGGAAAAATAAAAAAGTTTTCAAAGAAGAAAAAGAGGATGAAATATTTCAAGAAGAAGAACAAGAGAGGAAAAAACAAAAGAACCGGATGTTTTATCTGCGGGAAAAAAGAACACTTTGCTAAGAAATGTCCTAACAAAGATGCCAAAGCTCAAAATCTAGTAAATTCATTAGAACCTATTGAAGGGGATATTGAATCTGAATATTCTGAACAAGAAGAAGCAGACCAGGATACTGTCTTTGCTATTCAAGAATCGTCTGATGATTCTTCAGATTCATCAAGTAAAGAAGAAGAATACATTCCTCTTTATTTTACTCAAGAAGTAAATAGTGTCCTCCAGACTTCATCACAACCTTGTGTGGAGGTTCAAGTTCTCATCAATAAATATGCTACACCAATCAGAGTCATAGCCTATATGGATACTAGAGCACAAAGAACCATGATGAATCCAGATGTTCTTCCAAAAGAATGTTGGACTCAGTATACAACCAGTTTTGTAGCAGCTGATGGAAAGGTCTTCAATACGCACTTAATTTCCAGAATGCCCATTAAAATTAAGTTGTTCTCAGACTGCATAATTTGGATTAAGCCTATAGGAACTCATCTTCCTAACTAAGATATTCTGCTCGGAATGGATGCTTACTGCCTAACGGACAAACTCTAAATCCTGCCCAGAGAAATAAAATTCAAAAGAAATTTCAAACCCTACACAAATGTATTGAAACTTTATTCTCTTGAAGAAAGTCCAGCAGAATATTCTGAACTTAAGGAGAAGCTGAAAACCTTGTGTACAGATGGACATGAGAATTTCTCTCATCCCAATCCAATTTGGAATAATCCAGAATTCTTTATAAAGCTTCCCTTCAAGCTCAATGAAGACATCAACCCTACTAAAGCCACACATCCTGGAATGAGTCCAAGTGACCTTCAGATGGCTAGACAAGAATGCGCTGAGCTTCTTCGTCAAGGATTAATTGAACCAACCAAATCTAAATGGGCATGCCAGGCATTCTATGTTGAAAAAAGATCTGAAAGGATCAGAGGAAAGAAGAAGTTAGTAATTGATTACAAGCCTCTTAATCATTTTTTCAAAGATGATAAGTTTCCTATTCCAAAAACCTCCTCTCTTCATACACTTATTAAAGATGCCCTGATCTTTTCAAAGTTTGATCTAAAATCAGGTTTTTGGCAACTTGGTGTTGATCCCTTTGATCAATACAAAACTGCTTTCTGTATTCCAAATGCTCAATATCAATGAAAAGTTCTTCCATTCAGTCTAAAAGTAGCACCTTCTCTTTTCCAGAAAGCCATGACCTGAATCTTTGAACCCATTCTTGATAGTATACTCATCTATATAGATGATGTATTACTATTCTCAAAAGATACAGAATCTCATAAAGCCCTTTTAAACAAGTTTTTTAACCTTGCCAACACTTATGGGATTATGTTGTCAGAAAAAAAAGATTCAGTTAGCCCAAACCCAGATAGATTTTCTGGGAATGCATTTTTCTCAGGAGAATTATCAACCACAGCCTCACATTGTAGAAGAACTTCTGAATTTTCCTGATAAAAATTTTACAGTCAAACAAATCCAACAGTTTCTCGAAGTGCTGAATTATATTAAGGATTTTATTCCTAATGCAGCCAAATACACAAGTCCTCTGTCAAAGTTATTGAGAAAAAATCCTCGACCATGGAGCAATGAACAGACTGAAGCTGTTCATCATCTGAAAAAAAAAAAAAAAAAAAAAAAAGCCCAGAATCCTCCACCATTGAAGATTCCTGGTGATGGAAAAAGAATTTTGCAGACAGATACTAGTGATCATTATTGGGGAGTTGTTCTACTTGAAGAAATTAATGGAAAAAAGGCTTATTATGGACATGCCAGTGGACAATTCAAAGAATCAGAGAAGCATTATCACACAACCTATAAAGAAGCTCTAGCAGTCAAAAATGGTATCCAAAAATTTGACTTCTATCTCAGAGGTTATAATTTTGAGGTTCAAATGGACAACTCTGCTTTTCCTGCACTGCTTGATTTCAAGAACAAAATGCCACCTGATCCTCAGGTTCTCAGACTAAAAAATTGGTTCTCCAGGTATGATTTTACTGTAAAACATATCAAAAGAGAAAAAAATGTTGTTCCTGATCTTTTATCTAGATGAAAAAAGCCTGTTGCCATTGTTACTTCTCTGAACACATATCCATTAATCTTCCCACTCAATATTGCTGAAGCTAGTACTAGTACTAAACACAATCCTCTCTCAATGTTTCCTCCTGACATGAGAAATGATGGGGTAATTACAGTAGAATACATTAAAGATTTTGCCAGAAATCATATGTTCCATTATTTGGCTCTTTCCCTTCATAACCATGGTGCTAAACCAAAACCTACCTGGTTTCAACCTGATGCACCATACCTAAATATCTTTGCTTTATTAATAGATTTTCCCTTGATTGAAGAAGATGTATGGTATCTTTGGTGTGACACTCTTTTATTTCATTATCCCATAGTTTTTCCCACATTCAGTATGTTTGAGTTTCTCAGTGATCTTCGAAATCAGTCAACATTGATATGGAAGTTCCTATCTTGGTATCAACCTATTCATAACTGGAAAAAAGATATTCAGACTGAAATGGAAAGACTCAGTATATGGAAAGAAATTAATCTGCCTCCAACTGAGACTCCAAAGTATGTAACGATGGTAATCATTCATAGACCATATTTTGAACATCCCGTTACAAAATTACTTTATACTCAGAATCAAGTTAAGGTTTAGACTACTTATCCAAATCTTCATGAAATATCTCAACCAGACAGACCACCTTATAACCAGGCAGATTTAAATATTCACCTCCATGTTGAAAATGGAGCTCAAGAAGAAATGTTTAAAGTCAAATCTACATGTTCTAAGTTAAAAGCAATGGACATAATCTGCCTGTCTAATAATGATAATCTAACCATGTGGGGCAAAATTCAACAGGTAAATCTATCAGTAATTTGCTCCAATATTACTTTTAGAAATTGGGAAACAACTAGTCATGTCATAATCAGAGATGAAGGATCTTCGCATACCGATACATTCATGGACTCATAAGATCCAAATGATTCCTTCAGCTACAGCTCTAGTACTGATCCTAACATGTCACCAAGTCACAAGCCTATCTTCAAGGACTGAAGAATCTCAGATAAAGTACTTTTATATAATAAAGTGTCTGTATGTATTATGTTTTTTTGTATGACTCAGATGTACTTAAAGCTTTTCTTTTGTATGTTTGCGCAAAGTTACTTTGTAAAAGGATTGGAATCTTATCCAAACCTATCGAAAATAATTATTATGTCTACTGTTCATCCTTTATATAAGGAGGAGTCCTTGCTATTTGAAGGCAGATTGAACTGAAATAAAACTTGTGTGTTTCATATATCATGAGTTGTTTCTAAGTTTCTCGCTCTGAAAGCTTTGTTTATAATGACTATCCTCTAGTCCCTGACTAGAAAGAAGTATGCTCTGCACTTGTTATTTTAATGGATCCTGTGCATCAGAAAATTTCTAGGTAAAAGATCCTGTTGCTACGGTCCTCTTTATTATAATTTAGGAAGGATGATCAGCATAAGTATAAGAAAAATGTATATGAGTTTGCTCAAAATATTAAAAAGTGCTGATAGTTTCTTTCTGGGTTATGATATAAGAGGCTCCCAGCCAGTAATATGATTATTTATATTAAATTTTATATAATTTAAATATTTAAAATTATGTTAGTCAAAATTTAATATATCATTTGTTAAAATAAAGTAACTTAATAAAAATTGATTTTATTTTTTATAAAATTAATCTACTAACATAAACTGTCAAATTATTCTTATATTATATTTTATGAAAAGTTACTATAGAAGATTAACTTTTATATAATATAATATAATATAATATAATAAAGGGGTAACATAATAGTATACTGATGAATAATCTATTATTATACTTCCCAATAACTCTAATTCAATAGACAAAACGTGCCCACAGGATTGAATCTTACCCAGTTTATTTTTCCTAAATTTTAGCATGTTTCCTCTTCTTCTAATTTTTCAATACTATTTTCATTACTGAAAAGTATATCACTATAGATTTGATTATAATCTAGTTAGTACTCAAATAAATCTAAATTGTCAACGCTCTATTTAATTTCAATTTATCTGTAGGAAATTATTATAAACAGTAAAAATAAAAATACTATTGTTTTGAACATTTTCTGAATTTATCTTTAAAATTAAAAAAACAGAAAACATTTTATAAATTACACAAGCCTTAAATCCAACAAATAATGAACAACCCATCAATTTTCTCCAATAAACGAATAAATAAATTTTAATATTGATTCAAGTAGTACATTCTTTAACCAAATGAACACAAAAATAAGAGAAAACTTTTTATCTTCCCTATATTTACATTAAACAAACCCGCATCTATCATCATCACCCACAAAATAAAGTAATACTACTAGCATTTGATTGAGACAAACCAACCAACATGAGAGAGGATAATCACCAGCATCATCTCTCTCCTTAATCTTTTTCTCCATCTGCTATGGAGTTAAGACCTCAACATGATTGAAAGAGTTTTTGGCCATAATATCAAACAACCATTAGAGGAGACAAGGGTGACAAAGGAGGCACACTAAAGATGGTTCCCATAACATCAGTGTCCCAAAAGCCTTTCCAACATGAGGGAGTCAAAGGACACACCCCTTTGGGACTTGGGCAACACTCTTCTTTCTTCACATGCTTATTATTATGGTTATTGTTATTGTTATTATACTCCACATAGTTGCTTTTCCCTTCACTGTCTTCTTCTCTTCCTCTCTTTTCACCAACCTTGATGCAACTTGAAATTGGTTCTGAAGACTCTCCAACCTCCAAAGGGAAGTTCAAAATAGCTTTGCTACCTCTCATCTTGAAAGCAGCTTTGTCATAAGCCTTAGCAGCTTCTATGGCTGTGTCAAAGGTTCCAAGCCATACCCTTGAACCTTTTCTATTGGGATCACGTATCTCTGCGGCAAACTTTCCCCATGGTCTCCTTCTAACCCCTCTATAATGCTTCTCCTCTTTGTTGTTGTCATTATCTGAGGAAGAAGAAGAAGAACTTTGGTTGTTATTGTAGATGGTTGTTGTTTGCACCTGTTGTGACATGGCTGTTTTGAGACCGGAGGTTATGGAAGGGATTGTGATGTTTAAGGAGGGTTTGCGGTTGCTAAGATTTGATGACCTTGGAGGCTTGGAGAAAGAGGTGATTTGAGGCATTTGAAGGTGGGTATGGTTCATTGGTATGTTATTGTTGCCGATGGGAACTTGAACTTCTTGGGGTAGCAAGTAATCATTGACACTAATATCAGAGCTCATGTTTTGTGAAATTGAACTTAGCATTGGTTGTGATGACATTGAGGCTTTTAAGGTGTTTGAGGTGCAAAAACTGAAATTGGGTTCAAAGGTTTGCATAGTTTTCTAATTAAGGGGCTTTGGTGGAGAGAGAGAGTTGAGGGATTGAATAAACTTCTTAGAAGATTGCTAAAATTGGGATTTGGTTGAGTGGAAAATGGGGAGTGAGGTGCTTATAAATATGGGCTTCTATAGAAAATGAAGAATTAAATAAATGAAAAGTAAGAGATGTGGGCTTCTATAGAGATTCCAAGATGGAGAGAGGAAGCATCGTTTTGTTACTATCAATAATTGGTGTTGGAAGTAATGTCACGCCTCTTCTTTGTCGTTTTGGGGTGTTTTCAAATGTCACTTTGACTTGTGCTGCTGTGGGGAACCATTGGTCCTTGAAATGACCCTTCCAGGGTACTTCCTGCCTTAGGCTCCAACTTGATTCAATTTCAAAGTTGATTGTTAATTTAGTCATTCCTTTAATGGTTTATGACTCACTGGATCTGCATTAGATTCAAATTCATGATGGGTAGGTAGCTAGTTAAAGATTAGATAATGGTGGAAATAATTTTCTAACATTCAAGTTAAATGAACCAAAATTATATGGAATAAGGTTGTGTCTCTAATGATTTTATAAGAGTTTTATTTATGGGCATCTAAATGCAGATAAATCATGGTTAAATTATTTTATTCTAATTCAAGCAAATACATATTAATATCTAAATCACATGTATAATTATATAGTTTATACGAGAATGAAAGTTTTATGTTAAAAATTTGATAATATTTAAATCATACAATTTCACATGAATATAATAAATTAAAAAAATTTAAATCATAAGAATATATATATATATATATATATATATATATATATATAATGTATAATCAAATTAAATGAGCTGTAGTTATTATTAAAAAATAATTAATATATTTTTTATAAAATTATTAATGAAAATTGATATCCCAACAAAATATACAATTTTTAAATTCCGTTATTTCATTTGTTATGTAATTTATAAAAAAAATTAAATAATATTAAATAAATATTTATTATTTTATCAAATAAAGGATTTAACTTTCATGAATATATTTTTTTTTCAAGTGCTTTATGTTTTTCATACAAATGATTTCCTTCTATTATAAATTTTAATTTTGCTTGATTATTAATCTGCATTTTAATGAATATTATTATTATTATCATTATTACACCGTCATGCAATGCATTGACGTAGTGGGTTCTGAATATGTTTTGGACCCAAGTCAAGGTGGGCCATTTTGGGCCCTCTCTCTTACTGTCGTTATCCAGAACAAGTTTGCGGTGTAAATATGCAATCCAACATTAAATATATTATTTATCTGTGTGCGCCAAATTTCTCAGGCTTCCTGTTTGGAATGTATAGAAAAAAGTATATTTGAAGTATCTTATTAAATTTTTAATTTATTTTAAATTTATTAAATGATTTTTTTATAGAGTTTAATTTTGACACATTGTCAATCAATTGAAATATACATTAAATATGACTTTTAAATTAATGATAATAATAATCAAATTATATTAAGTTTCTGATCCACATTAAAAACTAATAAGATCTAATATTATTTAACCTAAATTTATATCCACATTTATACTCTTATTTATGAAATTATAAAGTCACTCATACTTGTGCAATTATTTATACATTTTCATTACTTTTTTTAAAATAATATTAACAAAAATAAAAATAAATAAAAGAGAAAATAAAAAACTAATGTAATTCAAGTTTGGTTGAGTTCATTAGATTTAAAATTATTATACGATACCTAATAATACCCAAATCAGTCTAAATTTTTAATTTATATTAAGTCGGGTTAGTCAGGTTTATTAATTGTAGTGAGGAAACTTAATTATTCACATGTAAGATGAACTTATTCACTAAGCAACTTTTTAGACCTAAATAAATTAAGGACAATTTGTTCATCTTTTATTTTATAATTATTAAATAAATTCCACTACAACACAACACTTTTATTTTACTTTATACAAGTTAAGCAACTCTCCTTTCTAATAGGGGCAACTTTAAAATGTTAAACAAATAAATCTCACTAATTATCCTGCATCAATGTGACTTTCATCTCATCATTTATTTTCATTTTAACCAAACAAGTCCTAAGATTGATCAAAAGGGCCTATTTTGATCACATAATATATACACAATTCTTGCAAGCATGAAACGATTTTGTTACTTGAGACACGGATCATAATTAAAATAAAATGAAAGAATAAAGTGAAACCCCGTTATAAACTTAATTTTGGCGTAAAAAATGAAATAGGGAAAGCAGAAGGCATGAAAAATCATGTAAATGCAATTCAATATAAAATTACTTAAAATTTTCCCCAGTTCTATGTCCGAGGGATGAAATTTTATCCCTTGACAAGTTTATGGTAACGAGCATCACAGTACCTCTGAGTAGAAGAACTCAATATTGAAACCCCAGAAGACATTGACTACAATTCGTACCTCTTAATGGGTAGAAAAAAGACCAAAAAAAGGCCCTTACTATTTGCCATCATTTTCTTCAATTTAGAGCCAAAAATGAGTTTCCTTTAGGTTTTGGGATCTGAATTCTGCCTATGGTATTTTTCAAGAATAATATTACATTCATTCATGGTCCGAGCATCTAGAAGACCATGATTGAATAATTTGAGCATAAATATTCTCCAACACCTGCCAAAATAATAAATGAATAATTATTCTCTTAGATCTATATACATAAATAATAAAATCTTAGTATCTTACTATTAACACAAAAGAAGCTCGGTATTCCTTTACAATGAACTTTAGATACAATACTATATTAACATTAAAGGTAAACTAATTTTACAGAAAATAATAAATGTTCTCCTTCACTGCAACAATCTTGAATTGCTGGTGATATACGCCAAAACAAACTTTAATAATTTAAGCATTAACCACCATAATGAGTAAAAATTTACAAAGAGAACAACAAAGACACTCCTTTTTTCACCAAGTCCATGAAAAACTTGTAGACTAGGATGGGAAATTTCAAACATCATTATAATTATCAAAAACTAGCCTTTCCTCCAGATAGTCCAGAATTTTGAACATTTCCACTACTATGTATTGTCGGTATATGTGGTTCATCATGGCAACATATTGTCGTGTTTTGTTTGCTATAGAAGACTGATGAATATCAGGTAAATTAAAAACTTATATTGATTAATTAGAAAACATCAACACAAGATGAGGGAAAAAACAAGCTGTAAACTTCAAACGTGAATTGAAACACGAGAGATGCTAGTTACCCAGCCAGTGAGCAGGATTGAACAAACTCAGCAGCATGCAATTTGGAGAAAGCCTCACATGCCCAAGGAATGTGACCATCTGCAATTACACTGCCACAAGCAGAAAAAAAATTGAAAAAGTAGAAATACGTCTGTCAGCACATCACATTAAGCTCAACTGAAAATATGTGACCATCTGTCAGCACATCGCCTTAAGCTCAAAGGTAAATTCAGCATAAAATATAAAATTTATTAGAAATCAACAAAGATACAACAAATAGAGTGACAAGCAGAAACAAAGAGCTTACCGATGCTTCCGAACAAATGAATTCCACATATGCATGAATTTCTTCTCTCTTTTGCTCACGTCAACAAAATTCTCTAGCATCTGCAATGTATCAGCGTCAATGAATGATTGCTCACAACATAATAAAAATTGCAACAGAAATTTCATAATCTGACATCATGCCTCAACCTAAACCTATGCAGAAAATTGAAATCCAATGCAAATGAATCAAGGTTACTTTTCAGGTTAGAAAAATGTAAAAACTTGGTTGAAACATCCACATGTCCAATTAAACTGCACTTGAAGTAAATGATTCCATATGGCAACTTTTATTAAGTGTGGTGCAATGTAATTAGGATACTCTTATGGACTAGTATTGTTGAATTACAATGCATCCAAAGTAAGGGTATTTGTGTCTATGTAAACTTTGTATTACATACAAACACAACAAGGTTTATTATTATCCCTTTACCTCTTTTCAAAACTATATTGTATTAAATGGTATCAAAGCAGTGTCATCCACCACCTTGAACCGTAACTTTAGAACAAATTCAAAAGTTAAGTAAAATAACAACCGAGTGACCTCCGAGGAAGTCAATCACCTTATTGCCCTTTAATTTCCATATAAGATTTAATCATTTTAACAAGTGAGTTTCAGAAAAGTCCAGGTTTTAAATTGTCATCTGGTTTTTGGCTCAACTCAAGTGCTCATTGTATGCATGCAGTGATGCTCATTATTTGATTGTGTACACTATGTATTGTTTAATTTTCTGCTTAAAAGTAAAAATCAAGTATTTCAATAATTTGGAATTACAATCTAAAACCCCAAATTGACTCCAATTATTAATCCATGCAGATAAGCTATTGAAAATTAATCCTAGAAATCACTCTTAAGCTCCTTGCCAGATAATAATCCATAGCTGTACCAGCAACAGTTACAGTAAGGATTCTGAAATTTTAGAATATGAAAACAAAAATCCAATATAGCTAAATGTACCCTTCGATCTTCAAAATCAGCAACATCATCATCAACTTCATCCTCGCTATCTTTGTCTGATAGAACATGTTCAATTGACATTGGCTTTAAGAAAAAGGAAAAGAAAAATGAATAACAAATATATTGGCCATATAATGGCAATAAAAACAAAAAATATTAATTATAATGAATTGAATAATGCTGGAAACGAAACTATGTTAAGAAACATGACAATCTTCAATAGCAGAAAATGTTGTTCAGTCTTCCAGAACTAATTAGTAATTACAACCAAACATAAAATAAAATAACAATCTAACAATAGTTATTTAATACTCAAAGCAAATAACTTCACAAACAGAATAGAGTTCACAATTTCACACTAATATGCCCCACTGTTATGTTGTAATAATATCAGAACAATGATCACTTTCATCAAACCAAAAACTAGCACGCAATTTGTGGTAGCTTTCTACATTTCACAAATTCAACTGCTACTGAAATTTAAGCTGCTCCATTCACCAAAAATAACAACCCTCAGTTTATAATTTAATAGATAATATCAAGTTGTGCTTTAGAAAATTAAACCAAGCTAACTGACTGTTAAGAAATTCAAATCTGACATCACATCTACTGCCAAGCTAATGTTAACTGTAAAAATTAACAAACACAATATGGGATAAGATTTTCTTTATGGCCTCTCCTTGTTTCCCTGCTCATGGTTGTTTCATGAGAACTTATTTCACTTTTATTCAAAAAAATTTGAAAGCTTCACTACATATTTAAGCCAACTTGATTATGATAAGCAGTCTTCTATTTTATTACGATCTGACAGAGGTGTAAAATGGGTAGTTGGGATGAATTTTGATTTGAATTATAATGGATGTGTTAAAAATATGTAATTATAATAATACTGTAAATAAGGAACGTTATATCTTTGAAATTGTGGTAATTAGATAACTGTACATTCTTATATTTAATCTGTGTATTAATGATTCATATTATAAATATATGCTCTATTGTGTAATTTAAACACATGGATTCATCTTCGTCTCTTGTTCCTCTTCCTTTTCAAAATGGCATCTAGAGCTTAGTGAGAGGCAACCCTAATCCATGATCACCCTGTGAGCCCACTGCTTGCTGGAGCTGCCCCGTATTAGTTATATAAGTGACATGCTTGGTGCCTATAATTTATATGCTCCAATTTGAGAGAGTATTAAACATATGTATTTATATCAACAGATTGAACTTACATATGGATGGATTGGTTGGATTATGGACACATGGATTATTTTGCCACTCGTACCATCTGATCTTGAAAGTAATAAATGTAAATTCCCCAACAAAAGTGAGCCCATGGAGAGTAGGGACAGCAATTGGACTTGGGACTCAATGGGTACCCATAAAATGATCCATGATGGGAAGAGGAGTTGCCCTCTAGGTCTAAGTATAGATATTTACCCACAAAAAAATACAAGAATGGTTGCGGGAGCAGGTATGGGTGCTTTAGTACCCATCCCACCCCTTGCCCACAAATTATTAAAAATATTAAATTTAAAATAGAAAACTCTAACAACACTTATCATTTTCATAATGTACACACACAACTCACGAATTGAATCTTTATGGTTAATTCTCTCATCTCAAAATTGAAAATCCTAAATGGGCCATGTTGTTGTGCAAGTAATGGGACTGTGTCCGAGTTCCTAGGTACTCTCCTAGGATACATGGATGGAACTAAAGTTGCTACTTGAACAAGTACAAGTCCTAGGATAGATATTTTTTATAACTCAAGTTTAGGTAGAGTAATAAAAACTAAAATTTCATAATATAAGAGTAAACTCTTTTCATCCTCTAAAGGTACAATCATCTATTGAATTTAGAGGGGGAGATTTACAATGGATTCTGAATGGAATAGATTATTATGCAGTATACGATAGATATAAGCAGGACCTATTTCCTAGGCTAAGGAGTGAATGCACTTTTACCATGTGATACATGATCCGCACCATATTCTAACTGAGTCATCACTTTAGTCCTTGAAAAAATTGTCATTATATTGTCTTTCAATTATACAAAAATGTCATCAAATTTGGGACCAATTTGATGATATCTTCATGGTTAAGGATCTAGGTGAGGATGCTTGTATCTTTGGAGAACGAAAATAGGGATTTAATATGAATGTAATGAAATCATACAATGTGGCAAATCTAATCACCAGAGAAACAAGTATTAATTAGAGATTAGTCACACTCCAACAAACAGATTAGGATCATGATTGAAAGAACTGATTGGATAGAACAATTAAACTGTAAACCAGACCACTGGATGGTCTACTCAACCTTTTAAACATGTAAACAGAATCAGTCATGGAACCACTAAACCAATTAAAAACTATCCAAGCCACCAAGAAGACAAACAGTTCAATGGTGACCCCAATGCTTTTTTATACGAAAAGAAAAATAAAATCAAAGGTACTTTTGCAGTTTCTGCTGGACAAGAGTTCTCCATCATTGATCCATTAGTCATGTTTCCATATACCATCTTATCATAACTATATTTAATACTCCCTATGGTCCTTTTTATAAAAATCAAATAACTAATTCCTCACAACCAAAGTAGTTCCATGTTATAAATTTATACTGTATTCCAGAAATGCTCATAGTATTAAATGGTTAAATGGGTACCTTATATATTAAACGAATGAATATAACCACTTATGTGTAATGGATGAGTGTCTCATTAATACAAATCTCACAATAAATAAGGATATAAAAATAATTTATCAATTAATTCATTTAAAAATGGATCTTTGTTTCTTATTAGAGCCACAAAAAAACCGGTAGTCATTTCTTATAAAAGAACCAGAGGAAATATTTATACTAAATATATTTAATACTTATAAAAAAGTATAAAATATGTCAAATTTAACTATAAAAGGTATTTCAAAACTATAATTGATAATTTTGTTTAACTTGATATAATCATCTAAACATTTAATTTTTTATTAATAAATTTATGAAGAGTTGAGGTAATATTTTACTATTTTTTATTTAAATATAAAATAATGATCATGATATAATAAATAACATGACATGCACAAATATTGATGTGAATCCTATAGGTATGAGCTGCCTGCACTTGAACAAATTCATTAAAAGAGACAACCAATTTCAAAACATTGAGGCACCGAACTGAAGAGAAGAGTAAGATTGTAAACTCCATCTTCTAAACGAAATCCAATGTTTTGCAGCAATTAACAGCAAAAGAAATTATCAAAGAAAAATAAAAATACAAAAACAAAATATAAAAATGGTGGCTATGCATTACCTGGGCTTTGTGAGAATGAAAAAATTGTCGCTTCCTCAAGAGAGCACTGCTGAAAGGTTTTAAAAATAACTTTGTCAGAGCAGAATCCATTAAGATTATATATAGAAAGAATGATAATCACAACTAGGAAAAGTTATTTGATAATTTACTTCATCACTACTCATGCAAGGAAAGTCTATAAACTCCAATCACACTCACCACTAAACCAGTAAGGGAATCAAATGTGAAGAACAATTTGACACAACACTAACATGATGACTTAATAGACCTTGCTAATTAACAAAAATACATAACAAGTATATCTAAATAAACAAATCAATAGCCAAATATAATAAGAATCCCAAATTTAACATTATTAGAGATAGCTTAACATAGTAGCTGTTGAGGCTGTTAGTTGATAATTGTTTAAGTTCTGTTGATAGCTGTACCAACAGCCAACCATGCACAGAAAGCTTTTCCTCTTATAAATACTGATCATCATTGTAAAGTCATCAAGAAATTCATTTTTAATAGGAAATCCAGTCTCAAATCTGATCATGTTGAAGCGATCCTTGGAGGACTTCCAAATGAATATAATGCTTTCATTACTATTCTTACTAGCTGCTTGGAGCCTCTTGCAGAGACTAAAATTGAGTCTCTTCTAGCACAAGAGGCAGGCACACATTGAAAAGTAAGCAAAATACTCTTCAAGAACAACATAGCTTTACACAATCACAATAGTACTCATCTCCAACTGATTCCTCTGGTCCTAATCAGTCAACAACAAATGCTAATGGTTTTCCCGTGGTTGATTCCAACATAGCACCTGAATTCCAATCATAGTGGTGGCAGCTTTGGTTCCAAAAGCTGAATACAGTGTCAAATTTGTCACCAAATCTGACCATGATGTGACTGTGTTTTCACTGAACCAGATGTTCAAACTGAGCCGACATTAAGTAGCATCCGTTTCCACATTCAATGCTTTATACTCGCTAATGAAAATAAATCATATTTTATAACCATTTAAAGAAAAAATGATTTTTAATAAAATGTTTTATGCTAATCATACAAAAATAAAAATAGAAGACTTTAAAAAAATTGTTATATTAAAAACTATAAAGAAGGTTAGCCAAAAAAAAAAAAAAACCTTAAAAGAGAACAATTTATATCCTTGACTTAACTACACAAGCTATATGAAAATATTTAGAAAACCCATAATAGTCAATAGCAGTTATAGAGCCCACTATCACAGAGGAGCAAAGTGGAGCGGATCCCTGTCATGATTCCAGGCTCATTGCATCGCAGTTTCATGTAACAGCTGTAGCGTCACAAATAGCAGCTGCTATATCACATAGCAAAAAGTCAATTTTGCCCCCCCTTTTGACCATTGGAATGCTTTCAAGGGGCACAATCTTGGGATTCCCTCCCTCCCTCCCCCCCCCCCCCAATTTATATTGCTGTTTTATGTGTTTCTCCTCCGCCTTTGACAAATCAAAATCAATCCTGTGTATTAACTCACTTTGTCCTCCATCTCTAACATCGGTTTTTGGTGCAAGTCATTCTAGCCAAGTTCCAATCTTCTTCATCTTCGGCGAAACCCTAGCTATTTCCAACGTGACAGAAACATTTTTTGGTCATCTTCATTCCGGTGAAACCCAAGCTATTTCTGACATGACCCAGATGTTTTCTAGCAAAACCATCGGCATTAGAGCTTTCTCCGGTGACTGACCACTCTATTTTCTATTTTCCTTCTTGGTTGTGATTTTCTTCTTTCTTCTATTCTATTTTTCTTCTCTGAACCCCTCTCTGTCTTTAATTTGGGTATTAATTTTGTATTTTCCAGCATATATATATATATAACATAATTTATATTAGGTGTATTTCAAAATTCAGAAAAGTAGTCATCCCACTATCCGCTATCTTGCTATAGCATTTTTGGAGTAAGATGCTCTGCCCCGCTATCCAGGATTGAGTACTATGAGAAAACCATTATCATGATAAAAGAATTGTCATTTAAAGGAGACTTTGATGATTAGAATCACACAACCAACTAGATTTTGTACTCGCACAATAGAATTTGTTAGTTAACTCTCACATAGATGAAAATGTGACTCATTAAATGCAATGTGACATGCTAATGAAGTGTTCTTTTAGTCACATTGTGTACTTAATGTGTCATGTTTCCATCCTTGGGAGAGTTTACTAATAAACTCTAGATGAGATACTAAAATGAATAATAGACCACACATTCAAGGATTATTTTTAATATTTTCTTCTTTTAGGAACTAAAATGAATGATAGACCACACATTCAAGGACTAATTTTAACATTTTCTTCTTCCAAAGACTACATATCTTTTAAAGACCAAATTGATGTTCTAGTCCTTAAAATACTAATCACCATTGTAAAGTCATCAACAAATTAGTTCTTTTTTCAATAAGCTCTCTCTCTCTCTCTCTCTCTCTCTCTCTCTCTCAAAAGCTTAGTTGTTCTCAGTTTCCCACTCTCCAAACAATATGGCAATTCTTAACAAATATTTGACAAGCTAAAACAACCCATAAATTTGATATATATTCGACCATTGAGGCATCACTGATCTATCAGGTTTACAGCTGTTCATCACACTAATATGTTAGTGAAACATTGCTTTGAAAATATCATTAAAATTTGCAATATTATATATTTTGGTTTGGAAGGCTTGCATTTCTTGAAGATTTTAGCACTCTAGTTATGAGAGATTTCTTCCTTGTAATAATGTATAAAAAAATTCCCTAAAATTTAAAACCTGTTTTTGTTTTCCAAGGATAGAGAAACAAGCCTGTAGGACATACTTTCGTGAGTCAGAACGCTCAATTGACAGCTTTCTTGTCTTTGCAAACTGAAGCATTGTTGAGGTCCCATGATCACAGTCAGATATTGATTGGACAGAGTCAGGGTCAGGGTGTGATCGAATAATTGAGGTAGAAATCCCTGCAATGTCATAGCAGCATGTAACATATTCCTAACACTCTGGCAGCAATAATGCAGCCATTTGAAGCAGGAAGTCCAGCTAAAAACAAATACAAACAATGACACCATGATCGTATATGGAAAAGCAATTAATAACCCTTTTGATGAAAATAGGAAAAACAGAACCTTATTGCAAAAGTTTGAGTCAAGATTAGCTACAGAAGATATTTTAGGCCATGCATTAAACAGTTAATTTTTAATTTAATGTATTCATTAAATTTGGAACTTATTAAATAAATATTTTAAATGAAAAAGTTTGAATTAAATTATTTATGTTTAAAAAAATTATAATGAAAAATATTCTAAAAACAATCTTTTAATAGAAAAGTTATTTAAATACAAAATAAATGAATACAAATATACTTCATTTTATCAAAATTTAAGAATTAAATAAATTATAATATTTTTTTGTATTTTTCATTTAAGTTTATAAACATAATTTAATACTTGCAAGTGAATTGTGTAAATAAAGTAACTAATAATAATAATGTCTTTTAAATTAATTTTAGCATATTGTGACAACACTTTTTATGATACAAAAATTTATATAATTTTTATTCCATGTCCTTTTTATGATTTTATTAATAATTTTAATTAATCTTAGTTATACTTTCATAACTTTTATTAACATTTAATAATATATAATTACAAGAAATTGCATTCATACACTAAATTGAATTATATCTCTTTCCTGTAATCATATTAATTAAGGAAAATTAAATAAAATTATTAATGATAACCAATTGTTTTACTATCAATAATACAAAAGCTAAATATAATCATATTACTTGTGCAATGTACAGATATTTTTAATTAAATAATTTTTAAAATAAAAACTAAATATATATTGCATGATTATTTTAAATTTTAAAAAATTTATAGAATAAATATTTTTATTATTGACATTAAATATTTATTATATAAAATAAAAGTAAATAAAAAATAAAATTTTAAAATTTATAGAAAAATTAAAATTCAAATTAATATTAAATTAAAAAATATATATGCTGAATGCAGAGGATCATACGGCATAATGAGAAAGAGAATAATTTCTAAAAATGTTTTCATTTAAAATAGCACAATTAAACGTTCTTGTTTCATGAGTGTCCACATATTATCAATGCAGATTTAACTAAAATTGTAATATTTAATTCAAATTTAAAATTTATGCTGTACTTTCATAAAAAAAAAATTTCTTAACTTGATTATAATTTTATTATATCTTTAAATATATAAATAAAAATAATTTTCAATTTTGTAATATGGTTAAGTAATTAATTCTAATACTAATATCTAAAAAATTAGAATCAAAATAAAATCATTTTTTATAGATAATTATAGAATGGTTTTTCTTTATAAAAAATCACACAGAATTTAATGTCAATATTATATGTTCATTGTAATTTTCAAAAGTTTATAACATATAATCTATAACATATATATACAGGACTATATTATGAGTTTTTTAGACATTATAAGAATATTATTAAATTAAAATAGTTTTTAAAATAAAAATATAAGAAGCATAGTGCATGACCTTTTGTAATTATATAACTTTATAAAATAGTAATTATTTTATTATTAGTAATAAATATTTTATTATATTAAATGATACTAAATTAAAGAAATAAGATTCATTTTTGAAAATAAACTATATCGATAACAGAACATGAAAGACTAATAAATGTAAATACTCTCACCTTGAAAAGTGAGAAATACTCTTAATGTAAGATATTTCACCCAAAAATAGTAATGTCACATTACGTGAGAGAGAATGAATTCACAAAGATTATATGAATTGAAAATTTTGTAATAATAATTGACACTTTTAAATTTTATCATTATATCTCTAATTATTAGTAATTTAAAATGACTATTTTAATGAACTTTTAGTACTATAGATCTATATAATGATATAAAGGCTTAAATAAGATTTTGGTCCTCCAAAGGTTTCAAATTCTCTCATTTAGTCCCTTAATTTTTTCCAATTCTAGTCTCCTAAAAATTGTGTTTCATTGCCATCTAGTTTCTCTATTAGTCATCTATTAACTTGCTTTCATTATTTGTTTCATTATATCATTGATATCTCAAATGAAATACATACATACATATATACAAAGTTGTGATTTTGGAGGGAAAGCACACTGCAGGTATTGTATACAGACTTAGAGAGAGAGAGAGAGAGAGAGAGAGAGAGATTTTCCCTTTCTACACGTTTTCAAGAGAATTAATGGATCACTGACTTAAATAGCTGATATAGTGGCAAAAGATACGTACCATCATCCTTCTCCAGCATATCAGTGTCTCCTGCAAGAAAGTCAGAGTCTAAGACCATTGGTTGTACATCCTTTGCATTTTTCAAAGATAGGTTCTTTTGTGTTCTACGTCTAAGGGGCTTAGCACTGCATATAGACATGATATGAGTATGACAACTGAACTTCATAAAATGTTAAAAAACTATTTAGAGCCAACAAAATTCAAGGAGAAATACAATAGCTTACCAAAAGAAAAATGTTTGTTCTCTTGGATCCACACCATCTGCAACAATCTGGAAGAAAAACTAAAGTTTATGATTGTAAAGTTCCTCTTAATCTGAAAGAAAAATTGAAGCTTACAGGCATAGCAATAAGACTGGCAATGCACTATGGTAGATGCATCAATGGAAATGCAAGATAAATTCAGCAATAAATGTATCTAGGAGAAAGTTGGTCTAGGCGTCTAGCAAATTCTCAAGGGATGACACAAACTCATCTAAATTGGTTTTGTCATTGAAGGAAAACCAAAAGTAATCCCAGTGCAGAATAATGAATCAAATGGATATAGACCAGTTAAAACAGGTAGAGGAAGACTGAACAAGACTAGCAGAAACCATTTAAAAAGACCTTATTCCAAAAGAATTAATTCTAATTTAGTATTTTTTATTGAGCCCAATGATGCTGTTGATCTAAGTTGCTAAACCCACCTAGTGGGACAAGACTAGGTTGTTATTGTATGAAAAATATGCACATGAATAAACAAAGTGAAGGAGATATAAAGGCCCAAAATCATATCATCTAACGAAGTCCAGGAACCAATTAGAAGCATCAATTTGTAAATAGACAAAGTATGAAAATTAGATATTAATTAAAAATAATAAAATAGATTTACAAAAGAAAAATCTGAGCAAAACTATCCTGACCTCAGATCTCCAGATATCATTTTTCACAGACACATTTACAGCCTGACATTCATCTGATACCTGCAAAATTATTTGTACTTAATTACTGATGGTTCAATACCGCTCAACCAATAGAGAGATTTGAAGGTTACTGACCCAAAATTCAAAGTTGAAGAGATCATGTGACGAGGATAAGTGATATCTTAGACCCTAAGAAAGGTGGTGTCAAAAGCATTAGAAACAGGTTTCAACATCATATTGAAAAACTATAGATTTATAAGGAGGAAGTAGTGTTAACCTTAAAACAAGCACATTTAACCAAACAGAACGGACAGGTGAAATCTTCAGTGACTGCAATCAAAACTTTCTGTTGTTAGATATGTTGCCAGGAAACATTATATTAACAATAAGGAAAGAAAGAGATAACAATATAAGATACAATAATCATAGATATTCAAGACTAGGCATGCATCAATAGGTAGGAACCACAATCAGTTGCATTCCACCAATAGACATAATATGATACAAAACCATAACCTTGAACTGCTATTTAAGATTCACTCAATCTGAAAGTTTGACCACTTTTTGCTACGACTAGAATGCCCATCCCACTTGAAATTAAATCAGGGGGTTTGATCCTCTCAAGCATGAAAACATGGACAAAACGGGTTACCCTACATTAAAAAATGGGGGTTGAAACAAGACAAAAATCTGCATGGGCAAACAGACACTGTACACCTTTTCAAATAACTAGTCAACTTAAAAGCCTATGCATTTAGGTGAGGAAAGCAAGTAATGGCTTTTAATCTTTTGCCTTCAATGGTGAAGCACTTAACTTTCACTCTAAACATACAACAAAAAATTAGTGTCCTAAAATTTTATGAAATTCAACTAGTGTCTCTACCATCTAGAGATACAATCAAAAGCTACTTTAATGAAGTTGAGAGGAGGGGTTGAAAACATGAATATGTATAGTAAACAGAAAATCTACCATCATGTTTTTGTCCAGTCCAATGGTACCAAACAGTATGTTCTTCACATACTTGAAAGTGACCCCTAAATTTTTTACAACAGAACTGTAATATATTTAAAAATTAAAACTCAAAAGAAACACAGACATATCTTTTACAGGATCTAGCCATCATTGTCAAATTTGTTTAAAAAGTACATAAATTACTCCATAAAGAAAAGGAAAGCAATCACATATATAAACAAGAGAGACAGAGAGCAAATTTACATTACCTTCTGTTCTCTGCAACTTATTATTGTAATACCTGTAACAATTTTTATAATACAAAGATTTATTAAGAGAGAAAAAGAATACAATGAAAGGTGCAATTTTCTAACAGCAAAGAAAACATGGGGTGCAGAACAAAAATAGAAATCATCAGAACTAAAGAGCTCTCAAATCCCTCTGCATATCTGACAAAGACAACCCCCTGTGGAAGTCCATGACCATAAACTCATATAAGTCAAAGAAGAGCATGACAAATTATACAAGAAGTTAAAATGTAATACCTGTAATTAAACATGACATTTCCTTCCCTCATCCTGGACCATGCAAGTAGCTTGTAGTTAAAACGTACCCCACAATTTATTTAATAGAAATTAAATAACTGTGCCATTACTTTTATTTTCTTTTCAGTTAAAAAGAATAACAAAAGAGAGATGTTTTGTAAATGACCGTAACATATGCTCCACAGATAACAATAAGGGCGAACAGAGATCAAATAATAATAATAATCTAAAAGAGCCATCCAACTCTCAGCATGTCTACCAATGTATGTGAAATATAATTTTGAAGGTGAAGAACAAAGACAGTCAATTTAAAGGATCTTATCTTAAAGCAAGTCACATATAACACAGAGAATTTCAATTTGATAAAGTCACCAAGGGACAGCAGAATTGATGCACTGCCATAAAGCATTAGCATCCTTACTCCTTCCAAAACTTATAAAACTAATCAAAACAATTGCTCCAAGATTGGGCCTCAGAATGCACACTCAAAATTCACTAAAAACCAAATAGCCTATTTCAAATATGTAGCTTGTTGCTTAAAAAAGCATAAACAAATATGCATCTGTTCCAAATTAGAGGGAAACATCATCAGCAAATTATTTATCATTAATTAGCATTTAACCCTACTTACAGAATGGATTTTTAACAAGGAATTCATTTCTATTCAGAGAATGGATAAGATACTGAGAGAAAAAAAATATCAAATCATAGGCTTTGCAAATATAATTGTTGAAGTCCAACATAAACTACAAATATGGATTTATAAGAACTTATAAAGACTAAAGCAATCCTCACATTACAAGCTAGTTTTTTATAGTTGAGTTAGGCTTCAACCCAAATTTAAGATAATATCGAAACTTCTCGTAAATCCAATATTGGACCACCCTCAATTATAAGAAAAACCTAGCCCCACAGATTTTTCAAGTAAAACTAACCTAGCCATGGTTTTCCAATGCAACCTACCCAATCCTGCATCTTTTCCAATGCTACCTACCTGGCCCCATGACTTTCTCAGTACAATGTTAAAAAAATAAAAAACAATCCTACAATTTCCACACTCCAGATCATAGTAGTCAATAACAGCCATAGAGACCGCTATTGAGGCATAGCCGAGCGGCTCCCTACCACTATTCCAAGTGCATAGCGTCACAGTTTATGGTAGCAGCTAGAGCGGGGGGAATTGCGGAAAATTGTGGCTGTCGCAGCCACTATTTGATGCATGACAGAAATGTCAAATTTACCCTTGTTTTTTTAATATTAGAAGGCTTTTAACGAGGGCAATTTTAGGATTTCGCTTCCCCTTTAGATTGTCAATTTCTACATGTCATTGTATCATTCAAACTCAGTATTCTTGAACCCTAAGTGCTCCCATTCACCATCTTCGGCAACTTCTGCTTCGTCCAACAAGCTTCACAGTAGCCGGTGTCCTTTTCCGGCCAAATTCCAGTTATCTTCTTTATCTCCGGCAAGACCTACTCATTTCTAACGTGACCCATTTGCGGTAAGGGCTACATTCCAATCAAAATATGACTTTGTTCACTGTATCCAGCCAAGTTATAGTCATCTTCATTTTCAACAAGACCCACTCTGTTTTGTTCTATTTTTTTTTTCTCTGTTCTGTTATGACTTCTGAGAACCCCTCCAAACAATTGAAATTTGAAATTTGCAACATATATATGTAGCATAATCTATACTTGGTGTATTTTAAATTTCCAGGATAGCGATCTTGGGGTCGGCTGCTCCGCGCCGCTATCTGAGATTGGCTACTATGCTCTGGATATTCAATCTTAAACATGAAGGGGTGTTGAGATCCCACATTAACTATAGATATGACCTAATAATAAGAGCTTACAAAGGCTAAAGCAATCTTTACCTTACAAGCTAGCTTTTGGAGTTTAGTTAAGCTTAAGTATAAATTTAAGAATATAATTGAATGGCCAATATATGCTCAAGATAAAATAAAATTTACCTAATGATATGAGATAATGATGAGGAAGGTACTTCACTGCGTGCATATGAAAGGTAGGGAAATTTTTCTTTGGCCCCAAACTCTTCTGCAGAAATTGTGATTTGTACTTGCTTTGATGTTGTTTTCTTTGGCCGCAAAAAACAGAAAAGAAACAAGCAGCAGTTAATACAAATCCACCATTCAATATCAATGTCTATTTTGGGGTTTAGGTGCAGGATTTTCTTGCCCAGTGGGAAATGACTTGAAGCCAGAACTAACCACATTATCTAAATTACAGGGAACTTGAATGGAGACTCTTGTATCCTCATTGTGAAAATCGGACTGCAACACAAAGCAAGTTGTGAAGAATAGATAATAGTGTGAAATTGATCCTTCCCCCAAAATTATAGTACCCCCACATAGAATATACTTTAAACAGGACAAAAGGAAGCAGGTAATGACTGTTTTCTACCCCTAAAAAAATAATTGTTGTAATCATTATTCCTATAAAGATATCATACCTTCAGAATACATGGAAGCAAATCCACAGTTGACATAATCTCAGCACGCTGTCCCAAACGAAAATTCGGGAAACAATCCCAAGCCATATAAAGTGATTCTAAAGATACTTTCCCGCAAAGGCAGTATTCTCTAGCTGTCAAGCACAGAATGAAAAAAATTGAAGGAATTGCAACATGCATTAAAAAAATCAAAATACTCAGGAAAAGTGAATACATGACTAGTGAAAATCTTCAAAATATTTCATATATCTTTATTGTGAATTTGAATATTTAAGAATATCTTATATGATTTGTGGAAAATATTATGGAATCTATCAGTTCACTAATTTAGGAAGCAATCCTAGGAGTTATTAATGTATCCTGATTTTTGTTTACTTATTTAGTCAGAGTGTTAATATTATTGTTGCGTTAGTGGGCTTCATCTTGTCATGGCAATACTACCCTAGTACTTGGCCTAATTATTAGTATAAATAAGAACATCAGTTTAGTATTCTGTATCACATTATCAACACACCATATCAATCTAATAATTTATTTTTCAGAGTCTTCCTTATCTCTTTCCCTCCTTCTCAGTTGACCACCTAAATCCAATAATTTCAACAAGATATCAGTGCAGTACCATCTTCCATGACATCATTGAGTTCACTGGAATAAGAAATTTCACTACAACAATGCCTTTATCTCCATAATTCTTGTCAAAATGTTCCATGTTCCACATAGGCTAGGAACAAGGCCAAAATAACCCTTATAAGACTTTGGTAGTCTTTCGCCATCAAGTTAATTTTGAAATTGGGTTAGGTCCACTTCATTTCAAATAGTTCTTTTCTTCCCATTGGTTATGCGCCAAATATAAAGCAATTCAAATTCAGGTTCTTCCTTCATCCTGCTATTGTTTCAATGAATTTCGCTCTAATCTCTCTTCTTCTTTTCTTAGTATGCTCTTGTTAAATCTTCGTGTTTGCTGAATATCTTCCCTTTTATGTTATTATTGTTCTTTTTCCAATGGATGGGGAGCCTTGTTACAATGGTAAGGTTGTTAACTTATGACTTGCAGATAAAGAATTCAAATCCCAGAAGCAGCCTCTCTGCTTGTGCGGCTTGGGGGAGGGGGATAGGTTGCATACACCTACTCTCCTTAGGATCCTGGCACGCTGAATTTCCTTTTTTATTATTCGTTTTCAATGCTGGCATAGCATTAAGAGGGAGAGTGAAAATAATGACCTTTACCCAATTTATGCTTCTTACCCCATAAATGAATCATAGCAATTGTGTTAGATTGAAGTTGCCCGACAGGTATATAAACTGATCTCAAGTAATTGAAACCAGACATGTGGGACTTTCTAACACCCCCTCCACAGATGTGTGCTAGACCAGACAATACACATTGGAAAACATTGAAAACAACAGAGATCTGCTCTACAAGCCACAAAAGCAACAGAAATGAGTATAGGCTCTAATACCATGTTAAATTCCATCTTAAGATCAGTTGGCATTAAGTGAATTTGCCCAACAGGCATAGTAACCAATCTCATATAGCAGCGCATAACTGCCAACACAAAAAATGCTACTGCAGGATAGTACATAGTAGGATAACCGCTAGTGTAGAAATTTTATGTACAAATTAAATAGTTAATACTATATATATAAATGCTAAAAAATAATTTTAAAAAAGTCAAAATTTATGACATGTTCGTAATTAAGATTATAAGGTCAAAGGTCTTAAGCAAAACATACATGTAAATAACGAAAAAACTCAAAAATCCAACAGAACAGTGCCTCTTTAAGTGCAAAACGAGTTTATTCCAATCAAGTTCACTGTCTCTATACGGTCATTGCCAACCTTTTTTCCATCAAGAAACAGGACATGAATACGCAAACTTACTTAGGTAACCTTGACAGCTTGATAGCTGAATTTAATGCTCTTATGCCATTTACTAGTGATGCTGAAAAACATGCCCAACTGCGAAGCGAATTCTTCATGGTGCTTGCTCTTCACGGCCTTCCTCCAGAACTTGACTCTGTTCGCAATCAGGTTCTTTTTAGCCCCACAGTGCTATCATTTGATTCTATCTCTAAGCAGCTACTACACATGTCCACTCCTCAATCATTTGCAGCAACCCCACTTCCCACATCTCCTCTTGATTCCACTGCACTCTTGCTGAACTCCTTTCCTCCTGGCGGTCATGGAAGGGGACGTAGTAACACCTATTCTCGTCCGTGTCCTCGTTGTGCCTACTGCAAACATTTTGGCCATCTTGAGGCTCAGTGTCTCACCAAGGCCAGAGGCCAGAATCCTAGTGTGAATCTTGCTCACATGTCATCTCCAGCCCCTACCATACCCTCTCATATTCCTATGCCTACATTGGAATACCACGACTATCTCTGATACAGAGCTGCCATATAGTCAGATCCACCTACCAATTTCATTCAGGTACCTCATTCCATTTTTGTTTCTTACCCAACCTCTTTACTCTCTTCTTCCTTGGGTTTTTGAGTGTACCTGCTTTGTCCATGACCTTTCTCCAAGACGTGACAAACTCACTGCCAAATCACTAAAATGCCTCTTCCTAAGATACTCTCGTCTTCAGAAAGGTTATAGATGCTATTCTCCCAACTTCCGCCATTACCTAGTCTCTGCCGATGTCAGTTTCTTCGAAAGTTATCCCTTCTTCTCCGCCTCCTCTAACACTACCTCTCACTTAGACATCGTTTCGTTAGGTACTACTTCTTTTCCTCTACCTGTTCCTGCCCCAATACTCTTTCCTCCCCTAATTCTAACCTACCATAGAAGGCCTCACCCGATTCCTGAACAATTGCAATCGAAGCACATTCCTCCTTATTCATCTACTACTTCAACCGCCTCTCCGCCTCTGACTCCTGCACAAGAACTCCCTATTGCTTTGCGCAAAGGTGTTAGGTCATCTCGTAATCCTAATCATATTTATTCTTGTCATTTGAATTATAATCGTATATCTCCTTCCTACTCTGCTTTTGTGTCCTCCTTGGATTCTGTGTCTATCCCACAGACTATAGTTGAGGCATTGTCTAATGCTGGCTGGTGAAATGCAATGAGAGATGAGATAGCTGCCTTACACTCCACTGGCACATGGGACCTTGTTCCTCTCCCTCCAGGCAAGACACCGTTGGCTGTCATTGAATTTATGCTGTTAAGGTTGGCTCTGATGGAACTATTGACCGCTTAAAGGCCAGATTAGTAGCCAAGGGCTACACCCAAATCTTTGGACTCGACTATGGCGATACCTTTTCACCAGTAGCCAAGATTGCCTCTGTCCATCTCTTCCTCGCTCTTGCTGCCATACATCAGTGGCCCCTACATCATCTCGACATCAAAAATGCCTTTCTCCATGGTGAATTACAGGAAGAAGTTTATATGGACTAGCCTCCTGGCTTTAATACCCTTGGTTTGTCGTCTTCAGCGCTCTTTGTAAAGCTTAAAGCAATTCCCGCGTGCTTGGTTCAGCTGCTTTAGTACTGTCTTACAACAGTTTGGCATCACTCGATGTGAGGCTGATCATTCTGTTTTCTTTCTCCACTCTTCCACACATACCTGTATCTATTTGGTGGTATATGTGGATGATATTGTTATCACTGGCATTGATCGCATGGGCATCTAGCGCCTCAAACATCACTTGTTCCTACATTCAGACCAAGGATATCGGTCCTCTCAAATATTTTCTCGGCATTGAAGTTGCCCAATCCAGCCATGGGATTTCTCTCAATCAGCGCAAATACGCCCTTGATATTCTTACTGAAACCGGCATGCTTGACTGTCGTCTAACTGATTCCCCTATGGAGCCCAATATCAAGCTTCTTCTGGGTCAGGGGGAGCCTTTGAAAGACCCATAAAGGTATCAACGCTTGGTTGGTAAACTCAACTATCTCACCATTACTAGACCAGACATTACCTTTGCTGTAAGTGTAGTCAGCCAGTACTTAAACACTCTCTGTACCAGCCATTGGGATGCTGTTGTTTGCATTCTCAGATACATCAAACATGCACCAGGCAAAGGGCTGCTTTATCAGAATAAGAGAAACTCTGCTATTGTTAGCTACTTTGATGCTAATTGGACTGGATCACCATCAGATAGACGGTCTACTTTGGGATACTGTATTTTTATTGGGAGGAACTTAATCTCATGGAAAAGCAAGAAGTAGCACATTTTTGCTAGATCCAGTGCAGAAGCAAAATATCGTGCTATAGTTGTGACCACGTGTGAACTTACCTGGCTAAAACAATTACTCCTACAACTTAAAGTAGGAGAGGTCGATAAGATGAAATTAATTTGTGACAATCAGGTTGCACTACACATAGCATCTAATTCGGTTTTTCATGAACGAATCAAGCACATAGAAATTGATTGCCATTTTATTATAGAAAAGATTCTCGGAGGAGAAATCGAGACAATCTTTGTTGGCTCCAACGATCAGTCGGCAAACTTTTTTACAAAATCCTTAAGAGGGCTTCAAGTGGAATATATTTGTAACAAGCTTGGTGCATATGATTTGTATGCCCCAGCTTGAGGGGAAGTGTTGATATGTAAATATAGTAATTAGCCATGATGTGTAATTATAGTAATTAGGCCAGTAAAATAGCGTAATTACAGTAGGATATCAGGATTACCTTTATTAAGGTAATAATATGTAAGAAATATAGATTCTCTTGTACATGTATAAATTCAGACCCTTGGGTCATATGCAAGAGACAAAAAACACATTCAAGTTTCATACTCTATACTAGTAATTGAGGCATGCAGTGTGGGACTTCCCAACAAATTGTGACTTCTCTTCCCACCAACAATCATTGCAATGGTAACTTATGTTGGCTATGACTCACACCAGCGCAAACTTAAATTCTAAGTTTTTGTGTTTCACTTGTTTCTTTGTGGTTTGAAGCAAGTGGAGTAGTTTTATTTCTTGTTCAATATAATCACTAGGCAAGAAATTTCCAACCAGCTCTTCACAATGATTATCATTTTATCTGTCTTTCTAAGTTATCTTTTCAACAATGCTCATCTCTTCAACATTTCCAGCATCACTAAGCAGTTTTTCCAGGCTGGTTTTATGGAGCCCACTCGATATGCTATTTTCTTTAAGTGTTTGTTTGTAACAATCATAAAGCTTAAGCTTGACGGGGAGTGTAATATCTATAAATCATCTCATAATATTTTTATTGTATGCTTGAATATTTTAGATTTTAGACTACCTTATATGATATTTTCAGTTTAGTTAACCTAAGCTCTTAAAGCTGATTATAAGCATCCAAGAGTAGTAAGTTGTTTTTGGAAAAGAAATCATTTAATACACTTTTGTATCTTCAATGTAATAAATGTTTTCTTTTCCAACAAAATCTTACTATTTTTAATTGCTTAAACATAGTCCGGGCGGAAGTTAACATTTTCCTTTACAATATACTGTGGAATGAATTATCCATCAAATTGAGGAACCAATCCTAGGATCTATTTCATATTCACTGTGTTTCCGAAGATATTTAGACAAGAAATCATTCCATTGGGTCACAAAAAATCAGGCTTGATTCTAATAAATATTGCTGAGAACCATCGCATCCTTGCTTAGGCAGTCTGGTGCAGGTCAGTAATAATTTGTGCCTCTAACAAGCCCATTATATCTTGCGCCAAAATTATAATTTAACTACGAATGAGGTGGCAAGGATCGGACTAGGTAGCTCAAATTGGCTACAATACAATGTGTGCATTTTTTGGAAGTGTACAATACAGAGACACCATAAAAAGGCTGTAGGTTAAAGCACACATTGCCTCCCCAACTTGCATTTACTAAAGGAAGTATCTAATTGTATAGATGTCAATCAATCACCTATAGTCAGTCCTCAATGAATCAAAACAGTCAAGAATTCTTCCATAACATTCTTTCCAAAATAGTTTACTGGTATTTTACATGTTTAGGAAACCATGGACTTACTCTGTTATGATTCACAATTCATGATTCAAAATTAGAATAAACAATCTTGATATGATTCCCAATTTGACAGCTGTGGATTGGGTAGCAGTAGCACTAGATACTAATATTCAAGCAAATTAAAGAGAATTTTGTTTCTCTTTTTTTGTTATGTATGGATAATATATGCCATGAACTCATTATGAGAGGAAGGATAAATATAGAAGAATCAACAATCCAACAACAACATGATGGCCAAGCAAAATTTTTATGTTTAAAAAAAGAGAAAAACATACAAAAAAAAGTAAACTAAGAGTGGCTTGAGAAACCATGAGGAGTGGCTCAGCACACAAAGCTCCACATAAGGACTTTACTAGGTTTGACACCCATTAGAAGTACCTTGTGAACAAAGTCAAGCCACACGCCCTAATGAGGATTATTCCACACCCTTCAGGTATGGAGTCCCCTCATGGTACATTAATTTTTAAAAAAAAATAAAAAAAAAAGTGGCTTAAATAACAAGGTTGTAATGTGGTCATACATGTTTTTTGTCTGACAAATTAGCAATTTAAACACATCTCACATTCAAAAGAAGAAAGATGACTCAGATCTGAAGGCATCGAGTTTGCGTTGACTCCAGATGATAAATTTGAGTTTTCCACTGCAAGCAAATAGTCATAAAATGATAAGAAGGAACTTACTCACAATAGAATCATGTAAGTAGCTAAGTATATGCATACCAGTGGCAGTGCTGACAAACAAGATATCAAGTGAACAAGATCTAGCTTCCTCAGCTAACTTATTGACTTCAGGGAGTGTAAAATTTGCTTGGACTTGAGTATTCAAATCAATTCCAGGGGAATTTCGAAAGATGAAAATCCGACCAATTCGATACACAGCAGAATGCTGTTTTTTAGTAAGTTAAAACAAAAGGTATTGTACAGGTAGGAAAAAAATATTAGATACAGGCTCTTTATACTAAGAAGTAAGGAACTGATTAGTATAAGGAATAACATTTGATTCAGCTTAAGAAGTATTCCTACCTCTGAAGCTCCAACATCAGCAACACGCCTTGCAAGACAGATATACATTGGAAACACATTCTGGCTTTCAGTAATTGTCCTTGTAAGAGAAACTGTCATTTGTATTCTAAATATGCAAATAACAGAAATCATTAGCATATTCAAATCAATATTTATATATACTAAATTATAAAGCAGACGGAACACATAGTCTCATGAAATTGCTAGAAATTTTAATAAATTCAAGCTTATCTGAAAGAATAAACAAACACCACCATATCAATAAAAACAACAAGAAAAGGAATTGCGAGGTTTACATAAAGAAACCTAATTTTCATTTCAAAATTAGAACAAGATTTTTTTTCCTTTTCTTCTTTAAAAAAAACAAAGTAAGAAATTTATCAAGCCAAAGGGAATGAAATTACTAGATACTTTGTTGGGGACCAATTTGATATGTCCACAAGAACTATTATATTTGACAATCCTAATCCTAATTCATTTTAGAACCACAAAAGGAAATACACACATTTAAACTTGTTCATTAAACTAAGTCAACACCTCTTCCTCATATCAAAGACCTAAGTTGCCGCTAATTTTATGACAATAGCAAATACACACATTTATTCTGTTTACCCATATGATATTGAATACATGCATCTATCTGAATCATAAAAAGTTCATTTCAACAGTCAAAGCACAGAGATATGACCAAAAAATTCTTTTTATTTAAACTTAATTTCGCATAATAAACTCATGGAGATATGGCACATAACTGATGTAAATCTGTTAAAGAAATCAATCTGGAGAAGGAAGCCATTATATTGTAACTTTTACCTCTTCTTGTGCTTTGCCTTTATCCTGTAGTGCAAACATCTCTGAAGGAATAATGGCTACATAACAGAGACATATTCAATTAGCAAGAGAACATGTCATAATAGTTTATAGAGGCCCAATATCTTCGATGACCAGAAAATTTATGAGAAAACTATAATGTCACCAAGAATATAGTCAGCCCGATGCCTTACACACAGTCTAAAACAAATGATAAATAATCACATAAAATATTATTTACAAGGCAGATAATTTTAGCAAATCAGATAGAGTACATTTCTTATAGCACGTCGTTGAAGAATGTTGTAGAGCTCTACAGGCTTGCAATAAATTGAAAGACTCTCTTCTGCTGCAAGCTCTTCTTCCGCAGATAAATGTTCGCAAGCATCAGGATGGCTTCTGCAGTGCAAAACAGACATAATCACTGGTTATGTTACAAAATGCTTTTGTCAAAAGCATTTTTATTTCTTAACATACGAGGTTGCACGAGCCGCAACAGGAATGCCTGGCATTCTTATTTCTTGTTACAGAAGTCTCAGCTATATATTATACTTCTGATATTCTGAATCTTTAAGAATGTGACATTTTCTCCAGCAACAAACCTACAATTGAAAATGGTGAAAAAAATCATCAAAACCTGAACGAAACAAATACTAAAGATGTGGTATTCATAAATGGATTGAACATCGATCTCTACATCAAAGCCTAAACATCAACGTGTGACCAACCTAAAACACTCATTTTTTTTCATCATGTTGGAAAACCACTGACCCTAGTTGTAAATGAAAGCATGCTCCAAAATTACAGACACTGCATGTGACATAATATAAAGGAAATAATTATGCAGGGTTCCCTTATGTCCTAATGGATGCTAATGTTTCTAGGCTCATTAAGACTCTGAAAGGTGCCCTTTGTCCTTACGAATGCTAACGAAAAATTTAATAAATTGTTTCACAAGAAGATATCAAAGTTCTCAAATTTTTTGTTCTTGACATATCACAAATGTAGAGAATGCCAATCACAAGCCAAGTCCTGGTTTCCTCCAACCGTAGGAAACAGAAGCTTCACTTGTTTCTCCACCTCATATGTATCTAGGTGCATGGAATAACAAAGTAGTTTTCTAAAATTTAAAAACTAAAAAGCTCAAAACAAATTAAGGGTTCAAAAAACCAAAACGCACAGAAAGAGAGAATACCCGTATATTATTTTCTGTAAAAAGAAAATAATATAGGCAGCGAAAAAGCAAATGAGTAGGAGAAAAAAGGCTAAAAGGTTCTGACTTGGGCATGAACAGAACACAAGTAGAAGGTGTCAAGTATGAAAGAGAGAGAATGAAGAAGTAAGGAAATGGCAGCAATTGAATAAAACTGAGCTTCAATTGAAGAGGGAAGTGTGAATGTGTGATCATTCATTCATGTCGTAATCGTACCTCAAAGAATTGAATCCAATGTAAACGAAGACACGCGAAATTGAAATTTTATTATCCTCCAAATGATTATAAGATGAGTGTTGCTGTTGCTCTCTCTCTCTCTCCCTCTCTAAACTCTTATTAACTATAAAAAAAACGCGCACACTCTTGTGTTGTTCTCAGTTTGGGGAAGTAAAACACACGCAAGAGTAACAAAGAAACACAAACACCCTGACAAACAAGAACAACTGAAAATAAAATATAGTTAATTTATACGGTTTTTTCCCTTATATTTTAACTTACATATATTAAATTTTTTATATTTTTTTATAAATTTGTATAGGTCAATTAAAAATAATATATTTGATTATTTTTCTGGTTATTAAATAAAAATTAGGATGAAAATTTAATTTGAATAATTAAAAAATTAAATATGAATGATTAAAACTAAAAAATAAAAATCTCACATAAATTAAATTTAAATTATTTTAAACAAAAATAATTGTAAATGTTAGTTTCTTTTTCATTTTTAAAATTAATTTACGTTTATAATTATAGTTTAATTTCCTTTATAATTTATCTTTTACATTTAAAAATTTTGTTTCTTTAATTTAATTATACTTAACCTAATAAGATATTAATTATTGATGATAAAAAAAATTATTTTAAATTTATCAATATTTAAATATAATAATAATTAGACCATAAATAAAAATTGTACTATTACTATTATTATTATTATTATTATTATTATTATTATTAAAATGATTTCTAATGTCAATAGCAAGGAAATATCAACCTAAACATTAACATATTAAGGGACAATATGCTTCAATTTTCATTTAAATCTAAACATAAAAATAGTCTATTTGTTGTTACGATATCTTGACAATTAAATATTATGTATAATTATTATGTATTTTAATTATATATAAAACTTCTCTATCAATTTTATATTCTCTTCAATTGTTATTTTTATAAATATAAATATTAGATATGGATAAATTTTGGATTGGTATATTACATAACACGCTACAGTGTGTTAATGAGGTGAATCAATTCATTTATTTTGTACAAATGCAGAAGTCTATTGAAGGAAGAATTATTTGTCCTTTTATTACTCGTAAGTTTAAATATTTCTTGTTTAGGGACTAAGTGTATAAACATTTACTTTAGAATGGATTTCCGTTTGGGTATGTTCATTGGGTGAAGTACGGAGAGAGTTATACATGGGACTTCCTTAAATCCAATTTTATAAGATACTTCACATGATCATCATTTGTAATGTCTTTGGGTTCAATAAATATTGTGGAAACTAACAAAGATGACTTTATAAGGCATCTTAAAGATGTAGAAGCATGAAAACAATTTGATTCAATGTACTCTAGTTTTGCTCGTAATCATGAAAACAATTTGATTCAATGTACTCTAGTTTTGCTCGTAATCAAGAAATGTTCGACTTGGTAAGCTACCAATGGGTTTAACCCTTTTAGATCTCTTAATACTAAGTAAAGTATTTGGCTAGTTGTTTTAACCCCATAAAACAAGTCTCCTTGGTAATGTACAAATATCATTTATTTTTACTATGATCATTCTAGGCAAGTGAATGTCATGCAATAACATAGGCACTTATTTGCAACCTCTAATAAAAGAATTGAGAGAATTATAGAATGAAGGTGTTGACACTTTGATGTCTCAAAGAAATGTTTTGTAATGTCCTGAATTTTGGTAATATTTAATTGTTGTTATTTATATAAATTTAAATGCATATATATATATATATATATATATACACACATATACGTGTGCTGATTTGCTTGATAATAATGTTTATGTGTATTAAGTATATGGATGTGTGTATTGTGTGTATGCATGACTGGATATGGCTGAAATGGGCTAAGTGCCTAAGTGCAGGGCGTGATACTGGGCTGTTCTCATTGTAGCAAGAGGATTTTCGCTGTAACAAGAGGATTTTCGCTGTAGCAAGAGGGCCTAGGAGGAAGGACTGAAACTGTCACCTTCTCACTGTAGCGAGAGACGTCTCGCTGTAGCAGGAGAGCGACAGTTTGGGTGCATTTCTGGGTGTAGTCTCGCTATAGTGAGAGGGTTTCGTTGTAGTGAGATTCTGCAGAAACCAGAGTGTAGTTTTATCTGGTTTTTTCGCTGTAGCGAGAGGGCGTGTCGCTGCAGCGAGAGTGTCGCGACTAGAAAAGGATTTAAAGGGGGTTAGGGTTCGGGGAGAGTTATTTTCTCCCTCTCCCTTCGATCCTCTCATACCCAAAGTCCTATTCCACCAATTAATTGCCTCCAAAGCCGTTCGGGAGCTTGATTGAAGGTTGAATCCGTATGGGGAACGCTTGGAGGTGAGTTTTAATGGTTAGGGTTCCGTTTCTCATCCTCTTTTCTCTGTTTTTGGGTTTCCTTTGGTTCTCATGGAATTCTTCCATGTGTTTTAGGACAAAATCCGTGAGGAGAAACACTTTTTGGTGGATTTAACGTGTGGGACGTCAATCCAAGGTAAGGGGGGACTCTATCATACTCTTTTGTGCATGAATTGTTGTTATTTTGCTGAATATTGTGTTATAGCTGAGTTAGTGGGTAGAAAATTGTTGAGGAATGTAATGTGGGCCATGTGTCGTGATATGTGGACATTGTGTGTATTGACTCGAAGTTGATGGATGTGAATTGTATGTAAATGTTGTATGATAGAATGAGGGCATGTATGCCGAGTGTTGTGAATGGGTATGGGCACTTGTGTCATATATTTGAATGAATATTTTGAAAATGTGGGCCCAAGGGCCGTGTAATATGAACGATAATTGTAGGTTGTGTGCCATGTGTAAGCATGATTACTGCATGCGTGAATGGAATATGAGAGAATGGGCATGTTAGCACCGTTGTAAAGTGCTATGAATGGTTCAGCGATACACTGGGGGTATGGGAGATGAGGACGATAGAAATACCTTGGGAAAGAAGGAGTGGTGGTGACACCGACTGTGGAACAGGCGCACCACAGGCCACACACTCTCTTCCTGACTAGATCGCTGACCATTACCTTTACTGAGCGACCCATGACTGCCCACGTAGTATCCGTGAGGCGAGGTAACCGGCGACCATTCATGGTGTAAATCTGTGATCACAGTACCACAGTGGGTGTGGCTGGTGTGCATATGCATGGGTTTATGAATTGTACTTATGAATGTGAAATGCTGCTTGTGATTGTGTTTATTTAATGTATTGAAAATGTTCTGGAGGTTAGACTCTATGTTGATTGTGTGTTTTTGGGTAGTGTAGAGTACTCACTCTTGCATTCATTTTTCAGGTAATCAAAACGATCAGCACCGGACTTAATGAAGGGATGGATGGATTGCTATAGGACTTAGCTTTTATTTTGAAAATTGTTGAAACTGAAATAGGTCTTGTAGCAGTCATTTGATATTAATTTGTAACCCTTCCCTTATTTTAAAGTATTTTGTGAAAATTGGTTATTTTAATTTGTGAAATTATTACTAAATGGAAATAAAGTTTAAGGTGTTACATGTTTAAGATGCATGCAACTCTTACATGAACAATTAGTGTTTTAGTTGGAAACTTGTCTCAATGGAATATCTATATTGGTTTAGGTTGTCCTTTCATGTAATTTTGATTTTTAATCACATCAACTAGATAAAAAAAATCATAAATTCATATTAAATCAAATTCATTTTCATGGTAAGAGATAAGAGATCTCATCCCCAGCATTGTCATGATAAAAAATTAGGGAACACATGTATGTTATTAATGTTACCTTAGGTAAAAAGCTTTGAAAAAATAGTAATAAAAAATGAATAACAATATTGGAGAAAGAAAAGTACATTTTTTAAACTTTCGTATTAGGAGTTTAATTTGTTACATTATAATCTTGATGTAATGCATATTAAAAAAAAATGTTTGTGATAATATTTTGTACACATTGTTGAATTAAGTTAGGAAATTCACAAATATTAAATGCTTAAAAAAACTTGCAAAAAATGGACATAAAAAATTATTTATGGATATATGATAGAGAGAAATATTGTTGTTATATATACAATGTCAAACCCTAAGAAAGATGCATTCACTAAGACTTTGAAGAATGTGACTATGCTAGATGGATATTCCAATAATATTTCTAAATGGATTGATCTTTTCAAATGTAAGATTTTTGAACTGAAAAGCCGTGATTTTCATGTTTTTATTGAATAATTATTACCTTTCGCAATAAGTAATTTACTTTCCAAATATATGGTGCTAATAGTTGAATTGTACTTATTTTTTAAAGAAAATTATGCCATATTATTAAATATGTTGAATTTAAATAAGCTTCAACAAATCATAAATGCATTATGTCATATGGAGATGTTTTTGTCTTCTTTTTTCACAATTATGATTCATTTAACTATTTATTTAGTTAATGAAGCCAAATATGATGGGTCAGTACATTATAGATAGATGTATCGTATTAAAAAGTAAATAATTTATTATATTTATGTAAATAATTTTACTAATATTTCATTATCTCTTTAAGTACTTAGGACATATGAAGTCTTATATACGCAATAAGACATAACTAGAGGGTTCTAAGTTACATAGCTAAAGAAATGTTAACTTTTTACTCGAGATATTTTTATGACTTTTAAGATAAAGTTTATTCATCCATAGTTTGTTGATGATATTTTGAATAATAATCTTATAACTCTTAGAGTTTCTAACATTTTTCGACAAGTAGGTAAAAATGAGACTTCCACCCTTATATCCTTAGAAAGATTACAATTACATTGATATTTTTTAGTAAATTATAAATTAGTTGACAAATATATTGAGCAAGTTAGATGATGTGGAGTATGTACGTATAATGTGACACACAGGCGCTAGGCGAGGGTAGAGAGTGATCGTCAGTGCAATGTGGCACAAACAAGAAGTAGCTACCTGACAGGCTTTCGGCAGTAAGGGACACATGAATTAATCGAACTTACATCAGAATAAGAGGGGGATCCAGAGACTGTGTATACAATTAAGGATAGCTTAAAGGAATTGATTAGGACTACCTATACCAGCAAAATGCATTTACTTTTTGGTGGCCTATCACTTAAGAACTCCAAAGTTAA